TTACTTACGGCTTATTCGCACAGAACATGGCTTAATCGCACAGATAGAAATGGTGTGTTGTCCCTATTTAGCCACAAAAATTGACACTCCTACCTCTTATTTAAAACACTGCCTCATTCCCATATGAGACACCTCATCTTCGGCCTCTTTATGATTTTTTGTTTTGATGTTCAAATAATTAATATTGGGTTGGGGGGGGGGGTAAATCGGTCATTTATGTTATTCAGACTGTTGATTCAGATAAAAAAAATAAACAACAACATCCATTTATCCAGATAGACAAATTTATCCGAACATACAAATGTATCCATACAGGACTTAATAAAAAATTTGATAAACAACCCCTAAAAATGGGTTAACCATCTAAATGTTAGTTGAAGGGGAATATCAACCGAGAAGACGCTCCATCAATGAAATGATACTAATGAAGACTAATGTTTGCTCAAAGTTGATCAAACGATCAATTATGATGACTTTGATAAATAAGAGTCATTAACTGTGTAACACCCTCAAATCTGGAAAGAACTACTAATTTAAAATGTTCGGTAAAATATCGAATAAGGAATAAAGTTCTTTCTAAATGTCAACACTTGATTACCTATAATGGCAATATATGATTTAACATAAACCAATAATAATCCAAACCTGACACAAAGTCTATATCAAGGATGGGTGTTACTAAAACCCATTAACTGTCGCTATCTCTAAGGTACGAAAGACGTCTCCAATCAGCTAATTCCTTCTCATGTCTCTATCTATCTCTCAACTCATCACAATGTCATTACTACCATTCTCTAGTGATGGCCTGATGCATATGCCAACAAATAAAAAATGTTGGGCTTAACGTCTAATGAGTTTAAACAAATTTTTATCTTTAATAAAAAACGGTAAAATTGAAAAGATACTATTTAAATCACATTTTTTAAAATGAAATGTATTAAATATAAAAGCAACACCCTTCCTAATACCCACCATTTTTTTGTGATGAAACTCATCAACCAAATCACTTATCTAACATGAAACCAAAAGCCAATACTCATATAAAATGCGAATAAAGTTTAAGGGGCTGTTTGTTTTTCAAAAAAAACCTCTTAATTACATCTGAAGTCTGATTCGGTCAGACATTTACCATTTCAGACTGTTTGTTTTTTTTTTTCAAATTAAGAGCTTAAAACCTCTTAAAATCATCTGAATTTTAAGTGAAAAATGGAAGTCTGAAATCACTTTCAGACGCCTCCTCCTGTCTCGCTCCCGATCTCGACTTCATTCCCGCCTCTCAAAGAAGAAGCCAGATCTCTTCTCAGCTCTCGATTATAGTGTGTGTGTGAGAGAGAGAGAGAGAGAGAGAGAGAGAGGCATCACTTTCCCAAGAAATCTCTCAGAAAATTTGGGTTAATCTTGTTTTCTCTGTGTTTCTGAGGTCCATTTTCATGGTCGCCGGTTCGTTTTCAACTTCTTCTCAAGTAGTAATGGGTTTAACAGCTAAACTGATGACTGAATCTAGTCGGAGAAGATGAAGATCACCGGGAAAATGGATCTACCGGCTATCGAGGGTCTTGCCTCTCTATCTTCCTCGACACACACACTATCACCGGGAAGATGAAGATCATCTGGAAAAGTATATGGTTGTAGCAAATGATAAAGTATATGAGGAGATGTAAAGGGTGAGATACCCAAGGAGGAATAGTTGGGTATATGCAAAAACCATGGGTATGAAAAACCAGGGAGCAAAACCATGGGGAATAGTTGGGTATTTTGATTTTAAAAAAAATGGTATGTCTTTTGGAAGATTTGGTGTAGCATAGGATGTAATTTATATTCATGTGTTAAAAGTATATGGTAGTTTACAAATGGTTTAAATGATTGGATATTTCAGTTAAATTTAATTGAAATGAATTGATTCAGATTTCAGAAGTTTGTCAGTTTATAAAAATAAACAGTCTTATTGATTCAGATTTCAGATGTAAAAACAAACAGTCTGACTGATTCAGATTTCAGACTTCAGCACCACCTCTTAAAATTCAGAAGTGAATTCAGACTTCAGACTTCAGCACCTCTTAAAAAACAAACACCACCTAATATTCAAATACAAAGACATAGAAAAAAAACTCTATTATCCAAAACACCAACACGTAAATAAGTTTCAGTATTTACCAAAATCATAAATTATGAATATACTCCAGACCCACAACAACACCGAAAACATAAACAATATACTATCAAAAAATAACACCTTTTGGTGAACGGGGAAAGTCGTATCCATGAATGTGGAGGACACAAGGTAAGCCATACATCAACTTTACTCAGTTTGTCTCAAGGTCAATAGGCTCCATATACGACTCTACGAAGTACCACCACAAGACCCAAGAGCGGTATATGACTCCAACGCTGCAAGCCCTGCTTCGTATACGACTCAAACAAGTACCATCACAAGCATTAGGGTGACCATGATTCCTAGGGGTGCTCAAAAACCCGATCAACCAACCTAAGCCAACGTAAAATAACTCAACCCGAAGCAATCCGGTGTCTAATCGAATTGTAAAATCTTCAAAATGCAGGCATTTGATTGATATTATTTGAACATGATCCAACCAGATGAACCTAATATCCTTTTATTTCTTGAATTTAATATGATTTTTGAGTTTCTATTATATGTACATTAGACAATCATACCACCACGTATTCTCTTCATTTACATATATTTTCAATCTATTCTCCATTTCTATGTAACTCCTCTGTATATATGTTCAGTAACTGTGAATATATTGCGTAAATTGAGAAAATTAATTAAATGTGATAAATACTTAATATTTAAGAACTATGAATAAGTTGTGGTTGACGATGAAAAAAATTATGAGTAGATTAGAGAACACAACATATTCAAAGTTATGAGTATATTTTGATGTACCATGGTATCAACCCAACCAACCCATACGAGTTAGGTTGGGTTACACTTTTGTTTGTGTTAGGTTGGGTTAAGACTTTCTAACCGCAATCATTTGTTTGGATTGTTCAAATGTCTTCAACCCGATCAACTCAACCCATGAGCACCCCTAAAGATTCCTACTCGTCCTCTAAACAAGTCCCATCTGAAAAAAAAAAAAAAATTCATATGACTCATACAAGTACCATCGCAAGACCTTAACTATGTATATGACTCATATGAGTACCACCACAAGCATTCCCATTTATTGACTTGTTGACCACTCACTATATATCATAGTGAGAACATCAAAACTTCTCACTTAAACAACAAACATGGACTCATTGGTCTCGGAGTTCGACTTTATGCAAGTTCACCTCCACATACCAAATGGTATTGACAAACTCATAGGTCCCCGGAGTCTAACTCTACACGAGTTTATCCGTGCAATATCCATAATGACATTACACGACTCATATGTATATGCATCAAATGCAATACAGTCTAAACTATATGACTCCAAATGAATGACCAACGTACTCAAAACACATAGTTCACAAATAAATATACAATAAATGCAATTCACGTCAAAAGCTGAACATTAATCAATTTAAACCTGAAAAATGTCTCCAAAACTCATCTGAGCAAAAAAACAACCAACAAGCTCCACACTTAAAAAATATGATTAACCAACGTTTATGTAAACACATACTCAAAAAATATGATTAACTCAATAACCCATTATTGGTTGGGACCAATCATTTTCCAAATGAAATCATACCATTTATATTTATAAAACGACACATAACATAATAATATACATTTTTTCCAAACGATTTATAAAACCAAATGCACTAAAAAGTGCATTAATCGTTAATTAATCTTCATTTATGCAATAAACCATGAAAATAACATTCTTGTGATTTATTTATCAAAATGTCCAAAAAAACCCAAGTGCAGGTATTTTACAAGATTTATAAATCAAATATACCCAAAGCTACAAATCTCATAAAGTAATCTACACATTTGATAAATATCAATAGAAATACTTCAATACATTAAAATGAATATTCTTGACATGTACATAATTTTCATAAAACAACTTAAAACTCACTTTGTCTGGTTAGGTTAAAACTAGTTTCCAATTCCAAGGACGAAGACGTGAGATCCACAAGCAAATATCTCTAGAAACCTTATCTAGATCATAACCAAGCCTATAAATAAACCAAATATAAATACAAGTTTTAGAACCACAAATATCCCTAAACACAGAGATAAAAAGCACCCAAAACTTACCTAACCAAGGGGCCGTTTACCAAACACTTACCCGGGTAAGTGCTTACCAAGTCACATTACCTCACAAGATGAATATGGTAAGAACTAAGAATCTTACCCGATAAGAGCGAGACAATGACCATGAGTCTTACCCGGTAAGTGAAGTTGAAGACTCTTACCACGATAAACGCTTACCGGGTGAATTGTTGAATACAATGTCGTTTTGATGGATTAAAATCTTACCCAGTAAGTAAATAATAATGTTAAAGTTTACCGATAAGCACTTACCGGGTAAGATATTTAATCTCCATGCTAAACCTTCCATTTTGCTCCAAAAAGCTCTTAAAAGTAACCCCCCAAAATCTACTGGAATCGCCCCAAACCGAGAGGGAATGAAGAGGATGAAAAATAGGCAAAACCCTTCAAAAATCAAGCCGTAAAAACGCTCATAAGGCTTCCCGCAACCTTGGCCATGACCTCAGGCCGCAGGCCAGGTTATGCATGTTTCTGTTTTGTTGCACGACTTTCCAACCGTTTCCCGACCGCTTTCCTGACCGTTTTCGAACCATTTACTCGATTGTCCAGCAACCTATTATTTGACTTTATAAAAAATCCATGGGCTCTATGGTCATTTTCTAAATTCTATTTTTGGAAGGGAGTAAGGATTATATTGGTTGGGCCTAAGACTGGGCTTCTTCTTTCACCCGTGTGTAACCCTGCCAAGCCTGTCCCATACTTGTGAAAGTCCCCGAAATACCCTCAACGGGTTACCAAAATAAAAAGGGTACGATTTTACGTTTCATTCACCCCCAAATTCCCGCACTTGAATCAGCATCATTGGGGGGCAGATAAAACCCTACAAAACCCTATCTTCAGTCGCTTAGCTCTAAATTCACAAGCAAATCGTGTGTATTGGAATCGGAATCACAGTCCTGTGTGCCCTATACATAGAGATCACAATGGATCACACGGCGGAGCAAGACCAAGAGCACGAAGTTTACGGTGGAGAGATACCGGATGAAGGAGAGATGGACACCGATTTTGAGATGTCCAGGGACGAAGCGGAAGACGTTGAAAATAATAGCTCTAAGGTATAACTTATGTTTTTTTCACTGATTTGCGTGTGTTTATTTGGTGATTAAGTGTATACATGTGAGCTGAAGTTGAACTTAGAGTCTTTTTGATTGTTTTTTTTGTTGAGTTAGGATTTAGAGGATATGAAGAAGAGACTGAAGGAGATTGAAGAAGAGGCAGGGGCACTTCGTGAAATGCAGGCGAAAGTTGAGAAGGAGATGGGTTCAGTTCAAGGTATCAGCTCTAATTTGGATATTTCGCCCTATCACATATTTAAGATGTGTTTTTGAGATGATATTGTTGTGTATGACTATGCTCCATTTAACTTTCTTGGAAATAATATATATATATATATATATACACACACACACACACACACACACAGAGTTGTGGGAGCTGGGATGGTGTTAGAGTGTCATCATATTAGAATTGTTTTTCCGGAGGGTGATACATTGAAAAGTAGTTATGTCTGGGGATTGTTCAGCAATAGTTACTGGTGTATTGGACTTGGAATTACATTGATAGAGTTTAACAATGTATTACCACTGTGGTTCACGATTATATTGATCATGGAATCATCTGTGGTGAATTTTGGTCGCTATTGTTATTTCTATCACCCAAAGAAGTATATAAGTTCTGCATGTTTCTTTGCTCAATATAAAAACGTAATTAAATGCGATAAAAAACTGAAATCTTAGTTTTGCTGAATATAACCATTGTGGTTCATGATTATATTGATCATAGAATCATGTGTGGTGAACTTCAGTTGTTCTTGGCATATTGCTATTATTATCACCCAAAAGAAGTATATAAGTTATGCAGGTTTATTTGCTCAATACAAAAGCAGAAAGTGCTTATATATGATAAAAATTAAAATATTAGTTTAGCTCATCTTCATTTCCTATGGATTCAGTAGGTCCTATAACCTTTTACATTGAAAAATCTGGTGGCCACCTAATTTAACTGCAAGTTAAGAAAAAGAGTAGATTTAAACTGATGTAAATCTATGGACCCTTAAAATTTTTGTTTTAAGTTTTATGTACCAGTCATACAAATGGTTGGCAAACGACATCTAAGTACACCCTGACCAAAGAATCCAAGTGATTGCATTTTATGCTAGCAAAAAGAAGTGTTTGAAGCGTATAGTAACTGTTTTTCTCCCTTTTGTGACAGCCAAAAAAGTTCTGTTATCAATATTCAGTTGTATAAAGAGGTACTACACCAACAATACAATTTACAAGTTCCTCCAATTGTATGAGCAAATACCATACAAACAGAAGCAGAGAAGTTAGAATCTAAAACCATTTACGTAGTTATCTTACAAGTCACACCTTTATAAGCCTACTACTGAAAGCCATACCAAACATCAATTTATAGAATATTTGATATGCTCCGAAGGAATCATGATATCTGCTTGGGAAGGGATTGGAAAGATGTTCAATCCTCCCTCAAAAATTCCATAATTTCTCTACTGAGATACTTCACAGTTTCATCTTTAAAAAGGCCAGATGCCTAGCATACCAAGCAAGAAGTTCCAATGGTGATAGTTGATCTCCGGGCCCTCCTATAATTTGATTTGAGGGCTTCCGGCTTGATCCTTCTTTCCATTGTTTAGTTTTCTGCTCATACAATCAAATTGGTCCTGGTTACCCTACACAACTGTTGCCTTACAAATTAATGGTCCTATTGTTACTCCAAATGGGGTTCCTTCTAACAAAGAACAAAAATACTTTCATTTGGATTGAATCAGTGAGATTTGGCTTTAACTTCAAGAAACTTCAAGGAACTGTTAATTATCTTAGACTATCTTGCAATAGTACTGAATGGAATGACGAAAGGAACACTTTCACACTTCAATAGATGAATTGGAATAATGTTATGTAGTTTTTAAACTCTCTAAGACCATGGCCTTCCTTTGCTTCTTGTTTTTAGCTTTTTTTCAAGATTAGTCTACAAAAGCAAATGAAGGTGTGAAAGCACATGGTCACTTTTGAACTCTAGACCGGGACAAAAAAACTCTCTAAGACCCTGTGATAAGTAGAAACGAAATTGAGCACACTCAAATTCAGAAATTCTTATTCAAAAATAGAATGCCTTAAAAAGAGCTTCATGGGGTTTTTCTAGGCAAGCCAAACCCCTAAGAGGGAAAGAACCTAGCAACTTTAGGAAACTAAATAAAACCAACTTACTAAGGAAACTTGAAAAATAAACTAATTTTCTAGGATAATGAAAAGATCCTAATCAACTTAGGAAACTAAATAACCTAACTTATTAAGGAAATTGTAATAAAATATATTTTTCAAGAAAATATCATAAAATAAATTCAATACCTCTTGATCATTCAATTTAAAGTTTTTTTTATTGAATATAGCAGTCTTGATTTGTGTTGAAAGTGTTGTACCGGTGTTGCAACACACGGTTGCACACAAGTCCAAGTCTTCCTCTACTGCACCTGCATCACCCTGGCCCTCTGGTGGTGTGGAGTTGCAGTGGCAAGTGGTCACGATGATGTTGAAGAGGAACAGCTGGAGATGGTGAATGGGGGAGTTGGAGATGGATTTTGGACGCCGGGGATGGGCAGTTCACTTGAGATGTATTTTGGGGTGCCAGAGATGAAGGATTCAGGACTGCATTGTCAGGGCTGGTCACTGGTGGGGGTTGTGGTGATCGGAGCAATGAAGGTGGGGTAGGGGAGGTCTCGTTGGAAATGGAGTTTGGCGTTGGCTGGAGATGGATGGAGGGAGGTCACGAGACTTAAAAAATCTAAAAGCACAAAAAGACAAAATGCTACAAGGACAAAATTAGAAAAGGCAAACAAGTAAAATCGACAAAAAAATTAATGTCAAAAAGACGGAAATGCCTTCCATTAAATGGAGGATGTTGTCGGTCATTTGGTCTAGGGACCATATCTTTGAAAAGTGCATACCACCAGGTTATCTACGTAATAAATGAAGTCTAGGGGACCAATTCCATAAGAACTCCCATACCACAAGGATCAAATTCGTGATTTGTTCCATAAATATCTACCGGTGTACTATGCTGTTAAAACCTATGCATAGTGGTGCAATAGCAGTTATTGGTCCTCTACCATATATCAGTGGTAAAAAGTGGTTCCGAGAATACCGGTGCAAATTACCACTATTGCACTGATATTTGACAAAAATAGCGGTCTGCAATACCGCTCTTGCAGTTGGGCCTCTTTTGAATATTTTGTTCTTTTTTGGGCTTTTATTTTATCTTAATCCATCAATTTAACGATTAACAGGCAATGATGCATCCAGTTAGAATTTCTTAGGTTTTCAATTTTCTTTCTAACATCATCGTCGACAGTCAAACTCGATGCCAACCTTACTCGACGTCTCAACTTCAATTCAAGAGATGGCCTCCTTTGGTTAGATGTAACGAACAAGTTGGGCCAAATACAGGAAGTGAAAGGGTTCACTATAGGGATGATGATCACGTTGGAGATGAAGGGGAATAAGGGAAGATGGGGAAGCTAACCCAAACGAAGAAGTGAATGTATAAGATGATGTTGACTCGGATGCTGATCCTATTGCTTGTGATTAGCTTGCTTATGAACACTTTTTCTATTTAAGTTGTTTAAGTTGATGTTGAAACTATATTTATAATTAATGCACATAATATGTTAAGTTATATTTATAATTCTAATAATTATTATATGAACCGCTATTTTTGGACTGCCGTACCACCGCGATAACTGCTATTTCAAATCTCAGTCCTGACCGCTACTTTGTATTTTAACCGCTGTAACAGCATAGCCGGCGTATGGATATTTACGCTTGCTAACCCTGTATTGTTGCTCTCCTGAGGTGATTAACATCCAAACCAAAAAGTTAGACCTCAGAAACTGCAAGAAGAAAGAGGAAGATAAATTACCGAGTCTTTAGTAAAAATGTGTATATATTGTGAGCTTTTTACTTTAAAATAAAATTGAGAAGGCCAATGCGTCTCTCATTGTAGGATCCAACTATGTAGTCAAGGCCAATGATGTTCGATAAATTTTAGTGTTGAGGTTATCCAGGTTCTTGTGTGTCTCTTTGACTCAGAGAAGTGTTTCCTTCTACCACGTGTAGTATATGCCTCTGTTTTTGTAGTAAAGCTTCCATTATTCACTTCATGCTATCTTCTATTCCTTATCTCTAGTCATTTTTTTGCTGCTCTATATCTGCGTAATTATACTGCTTTTACTTCTAAGATATGAAAATTTCTATTTCATTTGTTTGACATTACTTTTGTTTTTTTGATTATGGGAATTGCCAGAAGATCCTTCCAGTGCTGCTGCTACACTGGCTGAGAAGGAAGAAGCCGATGCCCGTTCGATATATGTCGGTAATGTGAGATTTATCATCCTTCACCTTATTACATTTTTCATAGGGAAAGAACTGAACGTGTGCGTGGTAGTAAATGACAAAGCAAGTTTTTATATGTGGCCTGTCCCACTTGTTTTCAAAATATATCTTCATCCCTCATGTCAGATTCTAAACCCCTATCCATGCTAACATTTATCAACAAAATTAAACTCTACATACATCCTTATAAACCCTTGTCCATCCTTATAAACATCCTTATCCATGCTAATAGTAATAGTTATCTACAAATTTTCATCTGTTTCGGCAGATCAATTCTTCAATGTCTATTGTTACTGGAAGAAATGTCTTTGATAAGTATATCAGTATATGACATTGTTTTCTGGCAGCATCAATGTATGTGGTCTGATTGAGTAGGGTTTGTGCTAGTGTTTTTATCTCTAAATTTGTTCTTGCATTGTTGCAAGTTGCATTAGATGTCATTTTCTATGATTCCTTTGGAAGTCTTTTTTGTATCCTCTCCTGGAGTGGTACTCATATTACTTGTTCTGAAAGTCAGGTAGATTATGCATGTACACCTGAGGAGGTTCAGCAGCATTTTCAATCCTGTGGAACCGTAAATAGGGTGACAATATTAACAGACAAATTTGGACAACCAAAGGGTTTTGCATACGTGGAATTCGTGGAACTCGAATCTGTTCAGAATTCGTTGCTTTTGAATGAATCAGAATTGCATGGGCGTCAACTTAAGGTCCTAATTTCAGTATTTATTATCAGTCCAGCACATTGGCACTCTTTGGGCTTCAAAATTTTCATTTAGTGGATTTTGGTGCTGTGCAGGTTGCTGCTAAGCGTACCAACATTCCTGGGATGAAGCAGTTCAGAGGGAGGCGTCCCAACCCATACCTTGGTTTTCGCTCACGAAGGCCTTTCATGCCTGGCCCACCAATGTTTCCTCCATATGGCTACGGGTATGTACCAGAACCTACCTTGCTTGCTGTGTACTTTTCCATCTTGGTATATGTTCCCAAGTGGCATTGTGCCTATCAGAAGTTGAAATAATCATTTTGTTTTATTATTATGTGGCTGGATATTCTGATTAAATAAGTTATTGAGCTTTGAGGTCATAATTCTTTTGTGGTACACTTGTTTCAACTCTACATATGCTAGGTTTTGTTTCCTAGGAATTTTGGAGGCATACTTCAGTTAGCATTTGCTGCTGCAGGAACAAGGATTAGTTTTGAATGCACACTTCTGTGGTGGGTTTCTAGGTGCGTTGGAAGAATTTTGCTTGCAGCTTAGCTGCTTAAGTTACAGACTTATAAGTTGCTGCTATTTACCATAGTGATGGAAATCTGTTGAAGAAACAAAGGAGTGCTATAAGCAATTTGTAGAAAGCTTATTCTAAAGATGGAGTATAGGGTCCATTCTTGTAATTCATAGAAAGGAGTCATTTTGTTTTTTTAACCCCGTGGAATACAAATTTCCCATTTCTTCTTTGTGCCAGTTAGTGGCCAATTTTGTTTTCATCAGCTGCATGCTATAGCTGACAAAATTCTAGAACCTTCTGTGTCCAATATTTCCATTCCACATGTGGGAAAGCTAAATTATCCCGTCAATGTTTTGTTCTCTTCTCGTAGTTGAATTCTACGGTCATGCAAGGGTTTGCAGAATAGTGGTGGCACAATAAATGAAGAAACTGGTATTTGGAAATCTGAACTTGTCTTGACCATGTTTTAAGGGTGATTGTTACGTTGTACAAAGCTGAGGCACCTAAGTTTCTCAATAGTTACAAGATGAGGTAGCCATCTCAAAGTTAGGTTTGAACTTTAAAGAAGATTTTTAGGAGTGGCACGTAAGAATAACATTTTAAGAAACTCTTGGTTGATCTGGTTAACGTTTCTTGTGGAGTAGAGAGTTATTGTGTTTCATATAAAACCATAGAGAACTTGTGGGCACGATTCTTAGGCTCTGGATGGTCTACAATCAGTGCTATTGTCCACACTATGCCTGATTTTGCAACTTACAACTCTTTCCCTATTGAGCGGTTTGTAACTGTGATGATCACAAGCTATGTGTTATCATGTCCCATGTGACCATTCATTATTTCAATTTGAAACTTAAAAAGATATGTCTCTGTTCCCCACTTGAATACCTCACTCCAAGTACCAATCTTCTACGTCAGTTTTTAAAAGGAACTTTGCCTGATTTCCTGGAACCTGACTAGTTTTCATTTTTATGTTAAGCTATATTTCTTGATATGATTTAATGATATTTAGCATGGGAAAATTCTGTTTCCATAACATATTATTGTTCTGTGATAGAAGAGAATGTTGACACCATTTTTCTGCTTCATTTAGTGTTCGTGTTCTTTGGGTTAAAGCTGATATTTGTAGTGTTGCCGTGTCTAGAGACAAGGATTAAATTAGGTGGCTTCAGCTCCTTGCAAGCTCAGTGAAGTTCTCTTGTTTTGAGGTGTATAATAGTATTATATGTATACAGTTTTAACAAGGATCTAAGAATCCATCTTTATTACTACTCATCTTATAGAGATATGAGTCAAAATTTTATATGGATGATACTGCTGTATATCGTGTGAGACGAAGGATCGTAGGTGAGAAGTGTAAGAAGCGATTTGGACCCCCGATTACTTTTAATCTCAAACCAACCCATGAATTGTGCTTTAGAAGGGAATTGATCCGGTTCTTCTCATTAGTGTTGATCTTGTGGAACTGTTCAATTAGGATTGATCCAAGGATGGAGATCCCTTCTCATCCTTTTCACCCTAACTCTCATTCTCACCGGAACCCGACCGATCGTGTGAAATTTGGTAACAGACACATTTTATACGGGCACCCTTCAGGTTTACCTTTAAATTGTTGATTAGAAGAAAAATCTTTTAAATAGCGTAGAACTGTAGTTGAGCTTCTATTGGACACATAAGAGAATAAGAGATGGCAATACAACACATATGTCCATATTTTCTGAAAGAGTGATTATCTTTTCTAACCATCGTTCTTTCTCGAAAATGAGTGATTTGAGGCAAACAACCAAAATTGGTCATTCTTGAAAACTATATTTTTTTTTTGGCCTAGAATGATGGATCATCATGACTTTCCTAAAACACTAGGATATTTTTGTTTACATCATTTAACATTTTCCATTCTAATTTTTGACATGTGTATTAGATGAAATTTTTTGGTGTAAAATAGTTTCCTATCATTCTATGATTCGCCTACTTTATAAAACAGTTGTAGAAACGAAAAACAGTCGGTTTCTTGCAACAAAAAGTGCAATAAACCAAAGGGCCTTTGACCTAGTGACATCCGGGCCTTTGGACTCCTAGGAGGTCAATGGTTCAAATCTCACCAAAAGTGAGGAGGGTGTGTTAGTTTATTTGTTGTATATAATTCAAAACAGAGGTAGAGCGATAATTTGGCTAATTTATTGTATGGCACCGAACAATCATCTAGGTCTTTTTGACTGCAACATGTAGTGAAATTTGTGTGTTAGTTTCTCAATTTTCATCCATCATGACATGTTTATTTCATCCATCGTAATGGAAACTTTGAGGCCTGAATACCCTCGGGTAAAATAAACAAGTTTCACACTTTTCTCACCTACGTATTTGTACAAAAGATTTATCAATCATATACTTGCACTTTGACAGTCGTATCAGTTATATCTTTGTCGTCAAAATTTTATAAATGAACGAACATAAATCCTGAATACAGATTCAGATGGATAACTTTCACTTTGCCGAACGGTTTTCGCTCCAGTTTCATCCCACATGGTATGTGGACGAGACTGGACTGGATGGGCGAGAATGGAGTAGGCGGGTGATAAGATTGTGGAAGGTTTTAGGGTTTCAACTTTATACGAGGAGTTTAGTAATTTACCAATTTTGTCTCATTTCCCTCCTTATTCCACCTATTTTGGTGGGCCAAAAGAAATGAGTTATTGTTCCAGTCTAACGTCACACCAAACATGAACGACATTATTTACCTTTAGTTAATTTGATTAAAATTGGTATACGGTGATGTATGTGATACATGATCGATAAAATTTGGTGAACGGTTTATGGTTGGAAACTAATGAATCTAATGCGGTTTATGTTGCAGAAGGATTCCAAGGGCCAGGAGGCCAATGTGGTACCGGCCATATTGATTGACGACATTTTGGTCAGTATGGTAGACGAATAGCATACCATTTTGCCTGAAAGCTCTCTTATTCATATTTTACATTTACATACCGTGGGAACGCAAGGGGTTGGGATTTTATTGAACCTTGAGTCATGGTGTGTTTGTTATAGTTGGAAAAAATTATGAGAGATTTTCGTCTAACACAAGACTAGCTAGAAACGGTTTCGTTACTACTCGTTGTAAGGCTATGGTTCCTTGAGGGTGTAAGGTTATGCCTGTCGTTAATGTTAACGATGGCGTAAGGTTATGCCTGTCGTTAATGTTAACGATGGCGTAATTGCTATTACTGCAACCTTGTGACATTTTTTGTGGTTTGTTTTTATAATTTGTCATCACTACTTTCAAGTTTTTTTGATTTCTGTAATATGTTACATTACAAAGGAGACTGCAATAATGAGATGGGTGTTTTAAATTGGTTAAAAGGGGAAGGTTGGTTTTTTTTATGAACTTTTAAGTGCCACGTGTTGTTGTCAGATTGGTCATTTACTGTTTTCTGACCGTTCTTTGTCCTTTTTTTAAAATTATTTTTTGATCGTTTACCCTTTTTATATATAAAATCATTGGTACCATTTTTATATGAATCGGTAGGCTTGTTTCTTTTCTTTACACCAATTTGTTCTTTGTTAATCCGAGTTTATAAATTGTGATTTTGACATACTTTCGTGTTTTTCATCGAATTTACTTTGTTTTGAGTTTATTATTTGTTTGAATTTTTCATGTTTCGAACTTCCAAGTTCCAACTAAAAAATGGTCTTGTACAATTTCGGTTCTCAAGTGGGGTCTTCTGTTATTGAATTCGTAAGCGTAGTAATTGTTGTGGTCAACCTAAAAGTATTGTTTTGACAAATCCACGAGTTCGGTAATTTTGCTAAAAGTATTGTTTTGATAAATCCACGAGTTGGTAATTTTGTTGGGTGGAAAAAGAAAGGTAAAATGCAAAATACGGGGTTCTTATTAGAGTAGATGGAAACTCCATGTTAGAATGGTATGTAGAGAAGTCTTACAAGAATCTTATTCTTTTCTGTTAAACACACATTAAATTAAATATCTAAAGGGTTTGAAGTTTTTTCCCAACAAACCTACGTTTGTTTTTAAGAGGTGTTGAAGTCTGAAGTCTTATTTCATTTCTGATTAATAGGAGGTGGTGTTGAAGTCTGAAATTTGAATCAACAAGATTGTCTGTTTTTATACACTGACAAACGTTTAAAATCTTAATCAATAGTTTGTTTTTGTAAAATTAAGTGCAAAAATTTTGTCAAATTATCTTGATTTTCATTACCGAAATTTATCTCAACAATTGCTTAATAGATGAAACACAATAAGAACCTTTTGGATACCTTTCAAACTTCCGATGCTACTGGGAATGCCGCCGGTGAGTTTGTTTGCGGAAAAATCAATCCTTTTGATAGAAGATAGATCGTCGATAGAAATTTTTGTTTCACATTAATCTTCTAAGCTAACATATACGTACACACACACACACACACAGAGAGAGAGAGAGAGAGAGAGAGAGAGAGAGAGAAGGTAGGAGTGCATTTGACATGGGCGATGAAAGGACAGTGACGTCCCTAGTGGAGAAAGAAGCAATTCCAAAGAGAATCAAAGAAGATGGGAAATAAAAGGAATTAAAATATTAGTTTACCTCTTATTTATTCAGACCATATTAAGTGATAAGAGATTGAAAAAAATTGAAAAACAAACGATATGAATTACAGAACGTCTGAACGAATCAGACATAAGTGGTAATTAAGAGATGAAAATGAAAAAAACAAAAAAGAACTAAATACATTATTCCTGAACACTTTCTGGTTTGTTTTATTTCGTTAGCTATCATTGGATTGTTAAAAGTTCCTTTTTGTGAAATGTTTTCTAAAAGAAAGTAACCAAATTAAATCAATTTTAATTCCTGTTTTGTTTTTGTTATAAGGTTGCTTTTTTAAACGAAACCTTACTATCGATAAACAACTTGAATTCTATGCAAATATAAAAATGGCCAAACTTTACCAAGTCATTTACTTTATAATAAACATGACAATTTCCGAGAAATCTAACCCGGTAAGAACGATGACGAGTCTTACCCGGCAAGTGGGTGTCACGACCCTTACTCGGTAAGTGAGGGTGATGACTCTTACCCGCAAGCGTTTATGGGGCAAGTGAGTGTCACGACTCTTACTCGGTAAGTAAGGGTGAGGACTCATACTCGGTGAGTGAGGGTGACGGACTCATACTCGGTGAGTGAGGGTGACGGACTCATACGATACAGTTTTGATGGACTACAATCTTATCCAGTAAAGTTAGTTAGAGTGTTGGCTCTTATTGATGAACGCTTACCGTTTGGGTAAACGACTCCTTAGGTAACCCAACAATTACGAGGTGGATTCAAATATCGATGCAACCAAGATACTAATGCGTAAGTTGTTTTACGCTTAAACATCACACATTCACATTATGAAATTTTACACAAAATGCAATGCAAAAAATCGTTTTTAAACTTGGGAAGTTGTATTTAACCTGTGATATTTGGAGCGTTCCACACAATTTATCATATTCTTACCTTCGTGTAACGGCTCATTGGATTTGATCCATCAAAACGTCGACCATTATAAAACGCACATTTGCATTGGAGCAATTTAGTTACACATACTCGTTCTCTGAATTAATAAATACTATTACCCACACATTAGGTCTAACCTAAGTAGATCCAACCTTTACATCTGAACAAATCAATAGTTTTCATTAGGGCTGTAAACGAACCGAACGTTCAGCGAACCGTTCGTGAACCGTTCGGCGGGAAGTTCGTTTAGTTAAACGAACGAACATGAACAAGAGTCTCGTTCGTTCATTTATGTTCGTAAACGTTCGTTCATTTATGTATTAATTTTAATATATAATTTTTATTTATTTAGTTTGAATTTAAATTTTAAAACCTTTTTAATTATTGGGCTTTTAAGAGGGTTTAGGCCTTTTTAATATTGGGCCTTTTTAATGGGGTTTTGTTGGGTTGTCTTCTAGTTCTAGGTCATTGACTGGTGTGGAGTGTGGACGTGTGGAGTGGTGGTCGTCGTGAAGGGCAGAAGCGAAGGGGACCGTGCTGTAGCCTGTAGATCAATCGCCAATCGTGAAAGCAGTATCTAGGTATGTAACCGTATGTTCTCTCAAATACACTTGTTTTCTCACAATGCTGTGCTTTCAAAACCAGTTATTTCCCAACACACACACACACGAAACATGTAATCCAACTCGTGAAGGGCAGTATCTGATACCAAGATGAGTGTATACAATATATATGGTTGGACGGAATGTCCTTGTGACTATATATACTTTTCATAGTGTGTTTAATAATTCCGTAATTCAGTAACACAAACAATGAGGACAATGACTACATAAACATCATTTGGAATTCGGAAAAAGAAGGGTTCACATATCGACAACACATCAATATCAACAATGATTTCAGTGTCTGTTAAGTTTTTTTTGGATTCGTGAAGCAGCAAAGAAGTATGAACTGAGAGATTTATGGAACTAGTTAAACGAATTTGTTTCTATTCAAGATTTTTGTTTTGGTGACGTTGTTTGTCTTGTTGAGCTCGAGTTGTCGTATTATCACACAACCAAGATTTCCTCGAGTTCACAGAGCTTCCATGGGTGAAATAACCGTGGGGCATGTAAATCTTCAAAATCATGCCGACAAAAAAGAAATAAAATGTCATATAAAATCAACCAGTGACACGTAGGCTGAAAACATATTTAATAGATAAAATAGGAAAACTTGAAGGTTACAGTTAAAATAATTGAAAAGGAAATACGAGTTAATATGCTCTAAAGTTGAAAATATCATAAACAATGAAAAAGATGTTGTTACATTAATTCGGGAAAAAAAACATTTGTTACATTATTTGAGAAATAAATCAAAACTTTGTTGCATTTCGTTATGTTTTTATTATTATAATGTGTGTATGTATAGGACTTAATCAAATGAGAACTCAAAATTATGTGAGATACCGTGTAAATCAACCATTCTATGACTCATATTATTTATTTATTTAATATTAAAAAAGTATTATGGGTATCATATCGTGTATCTTAGGGTATCACAATGTGTATACAATTGATATATAGAGAGAGAATGATCTTAATTAATGTCTCACAACGTGTATATAGTGGGTATCATATTGGAATGTTCATGCCGGAGTGGAGAGGGGATAGGAGAGGTAAGATTTCTAATATACCTATATATATATGTGTGTGTGTGTATATATATATATATATGTATGTGTGTGTGTATGTATATGTGTCTGTGTGTGTATGGAGCCATTCTAGGAGAACTTAGTAATTTGTGATAACCGTGAGGTCCAATCTCAACCACAAATCAAATAATTAATTTGGAAATTGATAATCTTGACAATTTTGAATTAAAATACACAATGCGAACACAAGATACATGTGATACCTAAAAAACATCGGCAATGTTAAAAGAAATATATATATATATATATATATATATATGTATATATATCCTCTATATAGAGGAGTGATCATATGAAAACCGCCCTCATTTGTGTAAACCGTGCAAACCACCTTTATCTGTCGATTTCATTGTTTAATCTTATGAAATTTTTTCATGAAATTGTTTAATCTTGTGAAATTGTTTCATATAATACTTTTTTTGATGAAGTTGTTTCATATATGGTTGTGAAATTGTTTCATATAATACTTAATGAAACTGTTTCATGTATTTCTCTAACATTAATGAAATTGTTTCATGTATTTCTCTAAAATTAAAATAATGAAGATGATAATATCTATGATTAACACCCTCCACAATAAAAATGATTAATCAACCTCTCATAATTACAAAAAAATGAACAAAATGAAAAATTATGATTGGTTGAATGCGGTTTGCATGGTTTGTACAAATTGAGTGGTTTGCATTTGATCGCTCATATATATATATATATATATATATATATATATATATAAACGATCATCATTATGATACCCAAGATACATACAATATACACGTTATGATACCTATTGCATACATATTGTGTTACCCATTATTTACAACACGTTCACAACACCAACGTTGTGATACTCATTGTATACACGTTATACCCACTATGATACCATTTTTTACGATATCTTCAACACCAAGTGTTAATTTTGGTAATACAGAAGGAGAATGAGGAAAGAGAGAGACAGACAGAGAGTTGTTAAATAGTTTAATTAAATACAAAATGAGAATATCAAATTACTGGTTTACCATTTTATTTTAGAGCAAATTGCATGAAAATGTAACGTACTTTATTCTGATTCCTATTTCAAGTAATGCACTTCCAAAACTTTCATTTTAGTAACTAAGATGTAATATTTCAATCATTTAGGTACCAAAACAACTTGTTTAGTCATTAACAGGTTACAATGTTGATATGTCAAATTATATGACATACAACTTTTCTTTATTTTGCTGGCGTGGTAATGACATGAATTTTTATAAATTTAAATTATTTACAAATTATATATTTCTATATTTAAAACATTTTTATACACAACTAAATAAGCAATTAAAACATCTATCGGCTTTTTATTTTTAATCCTTTTCTTCATTTACATCTTCTTCGATCTTAATACAAACCCTAATCTTTTTCTCCTCGCTTTTCTTCTTCCCATTTCAACACAAAACCCTAATATTTTGAAATCAATCACGTCAAACCCAATTACCAAAATCGCTCAAAAAAAGACCTTGTTTCAACGGTTTCAAATTTACATCCATTTGCTTTCAGATTTCAATCTAGCCACACTACTTGATTGCTCGTGAAATCTCGAACCATTCCGCATTGCATCCATCGATTTTACGACAATACATTTTACGCTTGACTCCAATAAATTTATCCGACAGGAGGTGTTCAAAGCACCAATCTCTTGTTGTTTATTTGGGGATATAGATCCCTCATATGGGTATATGTAAAAACGAGTAGTTGTTTTTAAAAAAATATCGTAAAACATAAGTAAAATAATGAGAACAGGGAAGAAAAGAAGGTTGCATTTTAACAGGATCCAAGTGTTCAAGGAATATATTTGATGAGGTTCTGGGTTTTTATATGAGAACCCAGAACCTCCAACATGGTTTATCAAATATATTCGTTAAGCATCTGGATCTTGTTAAAACGTAACCTTCTTTTCATATTCTTATACGATCCTTGGAAATCCATTGATTTTTTTAAAATGTTCTCAATAATTTAAAAATAAAGTCATTGTATATCTATACTCTATTATAAAACATTTGACAAAAACTCTTAAAAACAATTTTTTATGCATGAAGTAACGTATATTGATGCATATTACTTAAAATTCAAGATTACAAGTAAATTATGTATAAGTACAACTTATTAAATCCCCATGTTTGAATTTGTGTAACTAACTGCGGCTAAATATAATCAAATAGAGAATAAACATATCATTTTAAAATATAAAAAATCTAAAATATAATTAGGATAATTATCGAGTTCTAACAAAATAATTAATTATTATCTTTATAAGAAAATTATATTATTAAATCAAATATAAATTACTTTGTTACTGAACCTAAATTAAATTATAATAAAAAATGGAATTAAAAAACTACACAAAAAATAAAAAAAATTTAAATAGTTAATTTGATACTACTATCGATATATTTTTGTTAAATTTTTACGATATTTTTAAAATTATATTTTATTTAAAAATAAAAACATCATCACTTTTTTAAAATCATATAAAACCATATTATAACATCAAATAAAATAAATAATAAAATAAAATATTAAATTAAGATCTAAATTGCGAGTCCCATTTTAGTATTTATAGACAAGTGCATGTTTTAATTTTTCCAAAAAACTTAAAAGAAGTTTCCTCTATCCGCGTTGGACGCGCTTCTTGGTCAGCTTTTGGGCACTTGATACATGCCACGAGGTCAACGGGGTAATTTTTAACTTATCATCATTTTACATAAAAGCCCCTTGATTTTCAAGTATGTGCAAATCACCCCCTCATGTATAAAATGACTCCACAAGTTCATGGGTATGGTCAAGCATACCCCAATAAGGAAATCATTAAAGTTGTCATATTTGATCCGTTAAACATTATTCTTCATGTCATGATTTCATCATGCATTTATCATGTAACCATATAAATGCGATCACAAAAAAACGTCTGCTTGTTAATTGATAATCAGAGGATCAAGATCGTTTCATGTCTCTGTAAAATAACACTGTTATGTGCCATTACATTTTGTTATTACTTGTTTGTAACGTTCTTTTATTGTTTCAGACTTAAACGACAACTTCTGCAGCACGTTACATACAAAAGGTGATCATGAATAGGATTGGAGAATGAAAGAAAGTAAATAATTTAGTATATAAGTCATGAATAGCAAGTTATAACGCAACTCGTAATTGAATCCACACTTGTTATGTTTGCAAATATTCAGGTATAACCCATGTGAATAACAAGCACCCGATTTGACCTAAAGTACAAAATACATAGATTATGATAAGTATAAAGTGAACGGTGGGGGTAAAGAAGTTACCGTGGCAAGATTATGTTGTTCCTTTTGTAGTAACAAGGTTCAGGTGTCAATAGAGAAAAACACTTGATTGAAATTAAAAAGGAAGTATCACCTAACTGAAAGCAGTATGATTGATTGTATTTACGCATAAGGAAACCAGTAAACTTTAGTTAATCTTCCTATCAAAAGTAAGGGGTTGTTTGGCAATTGCTGAATGGTTTGGTGCAAAATGATTAAGTTCTCAGAATGATTAATAGACTCTTTATGATATAGTGCAAAATGAAATACAATTGTTTGATAATTATGTATAATGAAATTAAAGCTCTTAATGGTTAAGGGAGATCCAGGATACAAAATCATTCAGAGGGTTTTGGAACCATTAAGAAGCGGACTTTTTTTTTGCCAAACAAGATTCACCTCTTAATGATTCATATGTTGCCTATTAATGGAACTATTAAGAAGTAAACAAACAACCCCTATTGGGAGGATTCATTGAGATCCAAACTAAACAAACCCATTATACCTGTAGAACGGTAGGGTCTATAGAATATAATGCATACATATTAGTCAAATTCACAATGTTACTAAATTATTCAATTTCAGCCAACGATTCTAACATTCTTCCACTAGCTTCAACATATGTCAGACCCTTTGATGTATGCATAGTTCACACCACATGATCAATTGAAAACTCCAGTGCTTACAAATGATATATACAAAATATCAAAATCAACCAGTATGCAGGATTTGTCACGCTGTATATAAAAATGTAGATATAATTCAAGATTTATTATAAAGGTATAATGAAGGTAATATATAAAATTCTCAATAAACCATGTAATCGTTTTACACATTTCTTACGTATTTGAGGTCAACAATTTAAAAACACGTCAATGCCAAACGAAGCACACATTTATTGCACCTTCGAAGAATTGGACCCTCATAATATGTGATACAAAGATTCGACAAAAGATTGGAACACTTTTGCCAACATGTTCAAAGTACAGGGGCAATTTGTAACTTTTCACAAGTAAGAGGATACAAAATGAAATTGTTTGATCTATTGGCAGCCTTCTGTACATCATACCGTAGCGTAGCGGAGCTCTATCTATACCTCCGACCGAAGCACTCTTGTACCAACTCCCACTGCCTTTTGAATTCTTGACCAAACAATCATCAAACATTTTCTCGTCGGAAAATTTTCATCGCCGGAAAAAGTTTAATCGGAAGAAATGTTGATGCTCGTTGACTGTTCCAACTGCCGGACGCCACTACAGCTGCCGGCGGGAGCCAGGTCCATTAGGTGCGCCATCTGTCAAGCCATTACACGTGTAGCTGAACCCCGCAACCTCCCTCCGCCGTTGCCTACTCAGCCTTATGCCACTTCTTCCAACAACCACCATGCTCCATCTCAGCCGCACCGGCCACCACCGGTTCCATCACCGTACAATCAAGCATCGTCCGTTGGTCAAACACAGTCGGTCAACGGGCGGAAGAAGGCCGTGATCTGCGGAATATCGTACAAGAGAACGAAGCACGAGCTAAACGGTTGCATCAACGATGCAAAGTGTATGAAGTACTTATTGATCAACAAATTCAAGTTTCCAGAATCCTCTATTCTCATGCTCACCGGTAAAATTTATGCAGATTTCACCAATTTCTTAATTCGATCGTTTGATTTGGTTATTTAGGTTCGTATTTCATGAAACCTCATTATCATTTACATGTTGGTGTTCTTTAATGGAGATTCATTTATCAGAGCCCACTTCTGATTTTCAAAATTCAAACCTAATAATTTTCAAATTCAATATTTCCATTGATGTCTCTTTCTTAGCTTAATCGCAAAGTTTTATATTTTTATTTTTTATTGCAAACATTATTTTATGGTTTCATGTAGTTATCAAGTGTGCATCTTATAATCATATCGGAATCTAAGATTGACTCATTGGTTTCCTCAAAATCATAAAAAAAATTCCTAATTTGGATCCTAAGGACGAGTCATTTGCATACACAATTAGAGACCAATTTACCTTTTAAACCATCCCAATTGGCTTTGGTTGCAATTGTGCTTAGTTTGATGGTTATTTCATATTCAATGGTTGCTTTGTATTTCTTTTGTTTCTGATGCAACAATGTTAGTGTTAGTATGTTGCGACTTGTTTATCAGCTTGCTTTCCTGTTAAATTCACAACTAATTGTTCAAAGTTTACTGCAACAATGTTGAGGAGCAAAAGATGCCATTTTAAATTCAAACTTGATAGGTTCAAAACTTCAAAGCGAATGGTTGTATCATTTGAGGAAATTGAGACTTTATCAATCATAAAGAGGTGCATAAATGTCAAAAAAGTAATTGTTCTCAATTAAAGATATTAGGAAAGAATGGTCGCGTTGTGCTCATTAATGTCACTGCATCTGTGTGTGTGTGTATATATGTAAATATATTCGTTCTTAGATATACAAGTCTCGATTCATGGTGCACCAAGGCTTCTTGCCTTTATGTGGTTCTGGGAGGATGTGGTCATAACCTGTGATCTATCACAAAGGACTAGTCCTACTCTTACCGGCTGCACTCTTCCCAAATTCAAGTCTTGATATAGATTTCTTACTTTTATCACAATTTACACTCTCCGGGCCCGTAGAAAGAGATGTAGCATTACTTGTGACCTTTTTCTGCTCAAAATTGATATACAGAAAACGCTATGTTAAAAAGTCCAAGTGTTATCTGTTTACTACCTTCTGACGTCTCTTATTGATATTTCAGAAGAGGAATCTGATCCTTATCGGATTCCAACAAAGCATAACATCAGGATGGCCATGTTCTGGCTCGTACAAGGTTGTCAGCCTGGAGACTCGTTAGTGTTCCATTTTTCTGGTCATGGTTCCCAACAAAGGAACTACACTGGTGATGAGATTGATGGATTCGATGAGACACTGTGCCCATTGGATTTCGAGACTCAAGGAATGATCGTTGATGATGAGATAAATGCGACTATTGTTAAACCACTACCTCATGGTGTTAGGCTTCATGCCATTATTGACGCTTGTCATAGTGGCACCATGTTAGATTTGCCGTTTCTTTGTAGAATGGACAGGTAAACAGTGCTAAGTTTATACTCCCTTCGTCCTATAAAAAATGTCCACGATAAAAAGGCGCACAGTCTTAGAAATGTACAATTATTATACTTTTTAATTAACTAAATGACGATTTTACCCTTAATAATAGGAGTAAGGGTACAATTGGAAAGTATACACTTATTTCGGGACGAAATAAAAAAAAATCCGTTCACTTATTTTAGTACAGGGAGAATTTGTTTTCGCCTATCCATCTCCATTTTATGGTCAAATTTTCCTTTCAATTGACAATCGAAATGTTGTATTTATGTAGGAGTGGAAGGTATGTATGGGAGGACCATAGTCCTCAATCGGGAATATTCAAGGGCACAAATGGAGGTGAAGTCATCTCCTTCAGTGGATGTGACGATGATCAATCCTCCGCTGACACAGCTGTAATTACCCATGCTTTTCCCTTATGAATCTTCTTGTCTAATGCATTGTAAATGTCGGAGTCTCACATCAACTAGACTTGGACCTTTCTACTTTAATAGATGTTGGAACCCATCTTCTCTTCTCAAGGGCTCTTATGGAGAGTGATCTAATGGGGTTTCATATATGTTAACATGGTATCGGAGTCAAGATCTACCATTCTGGGGACTTGACACTCTGTGGCAATGTTTGCCCATCTAGCCTCCCCTTTTTTTTGGTTTTTTTCCTTCTTTTGGG